GGCTGTGTGAAAGCCCCTCGACCTTGGGCTTCAGCTTTGCCTCTTGCTCCTGGCCCACTGAAGCCTGAGGCATCTCTTCACTCAGGCAGCTACTGGCTGCTGAGGCTAACAAGCCCAAGGTCGACAAATAAAATGGAACACACGGCAGGCCATTCATTCGAGTCCACTGAAAGTCCCAATGTTGGCAGAGCATGGCAGGCTGCTGAGAATCATCAAGGCTATGTGCAGAGCTCAAGTGTGCCATAAGCTAGAGACTATCCCCAAGGCTTCTCCTTATATACGGGAAGCAGACCACATTCCAAAGGCAGCTACTCAATTGCTTGTGGTAGATCCACCATGGAGTTGATTGCCAGTCTCATCATGGGAAATAACTACCACCAGCTGCCCAGCCACTAAACCAGGCCTAGACAAGTTGTAACTACCACAAGGGTATACCTATTAATCTCCTGGGAAGGTTCGTTCTCCTCTTGCTCCAGTTTTGTGTTTTGGCTCATGATCATCTCACCCCTGGATTTGGAACAGCAGCCATCATCTCATCTGCTGATCAAGGTTCGTCAAACCCCAAGAATTGGGAGGATCCTCCAGACCTACTCACAGACCTAGGACCTGCCAACCTCCACCACTACTATATGAGACAATCCCTTGGGTGTCTCTGAGTTCTGTGAGGCATTACAGCGAAATACGGAACCATAAGATGGGGGAGTTTACTGGGAGGAGAAGGAGGAGGAGGAGAAGTTAATGTCTGAAATGATGGAATGGCACGATAGTCTGGACATTTGGGACATCTTTAACCTCCGCATCAAGGAGACTAGCCTTGTGATGATCTTTCTAAGAGAAACTGTTCAAACAACTGTTTTCCCACTTTGCAAAATGCCTTTTTGCCATTAATAAAACTTCTTTGTTCTTACTTTGAACAGACTTGTAGCTTTCTCTACAACAGAATATAAACTAAAATGGGACTAATACCACTACTCAGGTTTTTTTAAGAATTAGATACGCTAATATATGTAAGCTGCCTTGCATAGTGTCTAGCACATAGTAAGTATTCAAAAATTATCACTTCCCTTCTGTAGGTAAAATTCCTTCATAGACAAAGTGATTTTGCTCAAAACTATAAATTTGTTTACAAATTTTTCACCATCAAGATTCTACTCAAAACATTTATTATTTTTCTTTGTATTATTCATTGATGTAACTGTCACTGGGTACTTTATTAACAAAAGTTACATAATGTGATATATTATTGTCAAAAGCAACAAAATGTTTTCATGGTTAGTTTGAGAATAAATGCATGGTTTTGGCTGGCTTTCTGATATACTGAAAACAGTTCATAAATCCTGTGGTGAAATGAGTTTCTTTATGTGGCCTTTTGCCTTCTTTGGAAAAACAGCTTGAGATACTTTTCTCTTAAACCTGAGGAGTTAACTGTGCCCTAGTTTTCTACCTGAGATGGTTTGTTACTTTTGTCCAGGTTAATTGGCATTTCCTGGTAAGCTATAAACATCTTGTTTTGTAACTTTTTTCCTGGTCCTGGGCTGCAGCCTGCCCTGTGATTGGTAGCCACCTTGTAGAGACTGGTCAATATACTAGACAAATGAAGTGACTATAGACTATGCAAATGAAGTTACTACAGCCTACTTTGCAAATGAAGTATCTGTGGCCTACTGAGACGAAACTGGTCACTTTGTGGCCCCTCCAGGAGGACTATGCCTTGAAATTGATGTGGTGTTTGTTCATATAGGCAGCCAACCCCAAGGAGATTTTTGAGACAGAAAAAAGCAAAAGGAAAAGACGCAGGAAGGAAACAGAAAGAAGGAGAGAGAGAGAGAGAGGAGGAACCCTCTAAAAGAGGTGTAACATGGTTCAAGTGCTGTTAATAATGAAGACAGTGAGAGGTCCAGAAAGTGCCCAGTGGCAGACTCAGCAGTGACAGATAGTAGGGCCAAGAGAAGCCTGTCCTGAGGGGGCTGAGAGGAGGCCTATCTTGTGTGTGCAGGAGAGAGAAAGACCAGCATGGCTAAGAGAGCTGTCCTGCACTGAAGAAGGGAAACTTTTGCCTGTATGCTTCCTGATCCTGAGTTGCAGCCTGTTAATCCTAATTCCAAATTACCTGTTACTTCTTCAATAAAGTATTTAACTGTAAGTATGCTCCATAAGTTCTGTGTGGCCACTGGAACAGATAATCAAACCCAGAAGAGAAGGAAAAAGTGCTGTGGGAGAGACAGTTGGTATCAGAATTGGTTTTTAAAAAAAAAAGGTTGGAGAGTAGAGGTATGTTTGACCTCCACTTCATAGGGATCAGCCTTTGGCTGATAACTGATTCACATTAACCTCCTTGAAGTTAGATGGATCCTGATATCACTCCTACCCTTTGACAATTAGTGTCATGAGTAAGATTCATTGCAATAGCTCCGGAGTCATGGAAACATGGGGTTCTGGAGGAGGAAGGATGAACGAGGATGAGATGAGAAACCTTTGGTTTCTGGATGGGATAAAAAATGCCCATGGTCAATTACTTAAAAAGTTGGAAAAAGAAATACCATTTGGTCCAGCAATCTTATTACTAGGTATAAATCCTAAAGAAGTGAGAGCCAGAACACGAATAGTTATATGCACACCCACGTTCATCACAGCACTGTTCACAGTAGCGAAGAGAAGAAAACAACCTAAGCGCCCATTAATAGAGGAATGAATAACCAAATTATGGTACATACACACAATGGAATACTATGCAACACTAAAGAATAATGTAGAACCCATGAAACACCTCATAACGTGGATGGACTTGGAGGAAATTATGGTGAGTGAAATAAGTTAATCACAGAAGGACAGATATTGTATTAGTCCACTATTATAAAATGTCAAGGAAAGATTTACTATGGAAGGAAACTTTGTTGGTTTCCAGGGATGGGAAGGGAGGGAAAACTCCTAGATAGGTAAGAGACAAGGATTAATTTGGGTGAAGGGAAAGACAATATACCAAAAGTGAGTGACAAACGCTATGGAAAAGGAAGACACAAAGAAGTGAACAAGAGGTACAGACAACAAAAATAAACACTTTTACATACAGTACTGCATTAAAATAATAACAAACATTCATCTACAGGTGGATACACAGTTGAATGATCACATATGTCTAGGCAAAAGGGAACAGTCCCAAGATCATATACAAGTTTGGCAGATGATATTTCTACAAATGTATTTGTATGTATTATAAGAATGTCCATATACATAACAGCGCTAATGGGGCAAAGTTATGATAACTTCTTAGTCACACCCAAATACCCTAAATAAATAAGCCACTGGGCCCATGGGCTTGGGACCATGGTCATGGGGGACAGCAAGCTCAATTGGCACAACATACTACACAAAAACGTTCAATGTCATGAAACAAAATGTGTACAAATGGCTGTATGGAAAATGATTTGCTCTGTCAATGTTCACCCAAAATCACAATTAAAAAAAAAAAACAGGGAGGCGGGGCAAGATGGCGGACTAGGCAGAAGGATTGCACAGACCCTCTTCAACAAAGAAAAGGGAAACCAATAAATACAGACACAGAAGATAATCTTGGACCCCTGAGCCTTGAAGGAAAGGATGCAGATTTGGACTAAACCCCAACTAGCAGAAGAATTT